ATATTGTCATATGCATAAGAAAGGCACAACATTAAAATCATAAAGCAAACAAATAAATCAAGCAGCAAGAGGTTGTGCCCATGATCCGGCATATCAGAGGTACAAGCACAACCTTGTTCATCATTTGTTTTGACTCTGCCAGCAGTCACTAGCAAAATCTCACAAAGAATAGGACAGCACTGAAAATTCAAAACTTAAAAAGACACCTGCATATAGATATAGCATGCAGGCTCTATTTCATCACTAGCAAAAATGCATACTAATAGTAGTAACTGAGTTGAAAAATAGTGTCTTATGGCTGCGATTTTGCTCTATTAGATTGTGTTCTTTTGCTCTTGCTATCTGTTGTATTTTTCATGGAAATAAGTAGAAGGCATTACTTTCAGATCAACCAACATACGTTCCTTATGAGGATAGACAGATAGATAAGTAAACAATTTTCCCTGATAGTTTTTTCCTCGTGCTTCCCATAGGTTGTGCTTTCTTTCTTCAGATATTTCAACAACTTACATTTTCCTCCTATTACCTTTTCTACATTTTCTTCTGCGTGAAGTGTCAGGTCCCCTGCACTTTGGCCACAGCAACCCCACGCAATGTTGCAGGCTTGGGGCAGAGTGGCTGGAAGTCTGTGTAGAGGAAACGGACCTGGGGGTATTGACTGCTCAGCTGAACATGAGCCAGCAGTGTGCCCAGGTGGCCAAGGCAGCCAATGGCATCCTGGCTTGCATCAGAAACGGTGTTGCCAACAGGAGCAGGGAAGCAATTGTCCCTCTTTACTCAGCATGGTGAGGCCGCATTTCGAGTACTGTGTTCAATTTTGGGCCCCTCACTATAAGAAAGACATTGAGGCTCTGGAATGTGTTCAGAGAAGGGCAATGAAGCTGGTGAGGAGTCTGGAGTGCAGGCCATATGGGGAGTGACTGAAGGAGCTGGGATTATTTAGTGTGGAGAAGAGGAGGCTTGGGGGAGACTTTATCACTGTCTACAACTTCCTGAAAGGAGCTGGTAGTCAGCCTCTTCTCTTGCATAAGTAGTGACAGGACTAGAGGGAATGGCCTCAATTTGCACCACGGGAGATTCAGGTTGGATGTTAGGAAATACTACTTTCCTGAATGAGTGGTCAGGCACTGGAATGGGCTTCCCAGGGAGGTGGTGGAGTCACCAACCCTGGAGGTGTTCAGGGAACATTTAGACATTGTGTTGAGGGACACGGTTCAGTGAGAACTATTGATGATAGGTAGATGGTTGGACTGGATGATCTTGTAGGTCTTTTCCATCCTTGGTGATTCTATGGTTCTGTGACCTATTTCCAGACAGCCATTTGCCTTCACTACTGGCCTTCCCTGACTCATCTCACTCCCTCCTCTCTTTTCAACCACAACTTTGACCAGCTGATCTAGGCTTCTCAGCTGCAGCTCTGCTTCTTCCTTTTGGCAGTTGATGGTTCAAAGATATTTCCACCTGGACCAGCAGAAAGAACAAAAGGGAACTCTTCTTCTACGACATATCCTAGAGAGTCACTACTCACTCTAGTCTACTAAGTTAAGTTTCATTCCCCGTAATATACATTTTTTCTCTCCATTTATATTGAGAAAACACCCACAAAGTCAGCAAAAGCAATACTTGGTGCAGGAAAACAGCTTATGTTGGATGAGCATTTCATATCATTCCTGTAAATTCTCCTTTTTCCTATTTTTATTCATTGCAATTTAAGTATAAATCAGTTTACTGTTATCAACACCATACAGCCTTGTTTGAGTGCTAGTCTTAGCCTTCCTGGTTAGTGTGATGGAGATTTCTTCCCTAGCATGACTCTCCAATATCTCTAAACCCAAATGCAGATGATATATAAGCCCTTTTGAAGGTTCTTAAAAGTTCTCCTCAGTTAGCTTGATCCTGTAAGTCTGGTCCCACCACGAACAACATCCTTCAGCAGCTCCACAGGATGCTAAATTAAGGGAGCATGAGGAGCTTTCAATAAGCCAGAAAAGCTCTACCGCTCATTTTTTTTCCCATTTCAGCATTCCCAGAAACAGAAGATAATTCTGTCAGGATGCCAGTAGTCAGAGGGAGAGATCACTGGCAACTGCTTTCTGCTGCTCAAAGGGGCTCAGGAGCTCCTCTACCCATGTTCACGCCTGTTATCCACACAACTACAGAGTGCTTCAGTGGGCAGGAAAGGGAACTTCACCCTTCCAGACATTCCAGACAAATGTTTGCTTTTTCCTAAAGGGGCAGTGAAAATTCCCAGAGCAACCTACAAACTATTACACATAATTCAGCATCTTCATTTAGATAAAAAAAAGTCAACCACTACTATTCCAGCTAAGTACTGGGAATTCTGGGAGGCTTAGAATTCTGAACTTTTTTTTTTATAGATGCAAAACATTTGCTTTTAAGAATTCAATTCAATTACAGATATCCAAGATAACTCCGTGTTTACCAGACTGTTCAGTGCACAGCCACTACATGCAGTATATTGATGTTCTGATCAGTAGTCTTTGGAAATCTTCCATATACTGTGCACAGACAATTTGTATTAGGAACTAGGGTACCTTGTACTACTTCTGAATACTAGAGTAGCTTTTGATGAGTGAACATCTTTTATTTTGAAATTGTCCTCCTTCAGTCTGTTGCTGCATATGTTAAAAGACCCCATAAAAAGCAAAATTACACTAAACTAGATTTAAAAGTGTCAAGAGTATTGAATAAACATTGGAGACATCAAAAATCTGAGTGGATGCTCCTGATGACAAGTGGTGTGGGAACACCAGCCTGTGCTGAACCTGATACAATTCCATTTCCATCTATTTATTGAAAGTGGTTCACAGAAGTATTTCTGCATATCAGTGTCACCTATCCATTCCTAGGCACTGAATAATTCGGTATAAAACTAACTGAAAGAATCAACATATTTTTTTGTAGAGTATCAATGTCGTCTACATTTCCTTAAAAAATAAAAGTAAAAACAATATTAAGAAAAAAAAAAACAGAGAACTTTGAAAACATTTGCTTTTGATGTCTTAAGTCTATCTTCTCCTTCACAGATTGCAGACAACTTCAACCAACAAATTCTATTATTGGAATAGAATTTGTGGTCTCTGTGTTGCACTAGGGCTGCCTATGCAGGATATGGTGAAGTTGAGCATTTTGAAATGGGATTTACATACTTCCTGAACTAGCCAGTAGGAAATACCAAGCAGAGGCTAAAAATGATCCAAGGGATGGATCACCTCCCCTACAAAGACAGGTTGAGAGACCTTGGCTGTTCAGCCTGAAGAAGAGAAGGCTCTGGGGAGACTTCAGAGTGGCCTTTCAGTATCTAAAGGAGAGCTGTAAGAAAGAAGGGAATGGACTCTTTAGCAGGGTCTGTGGTGATAGGGACACAACAAACAGGAAATGGTTTCATAGAATGGCTTAGCTTGGAAAGGACCCCAAGGATCACCAAGTTCCAGGCCCCCCTGCAACAGGTAGGGCCACCAACCTCCAGATCTGGTACTACACCAGGTTGCCCAAGGCCCCATCCAACCTGCTCTTAAAAACCTCAAAAACAGAGCAACCACAATCTCTCTGGACAACCTGTTCCAGCACCTCACCACTCGCTCTGTAAAGAACTTCCCCAGACATCCAATATAAACCTTCCCTCCTTGGGAAACTCAAAACCATTCCCCCTTGTCCTATCACTGCCTACACCTGTAAAAAGTTGAGTCCCCTCCTGCTTATAAACACCTTTTAAATACTGGAGGGCTGCAATGAGGTCTCCTCACAGCCTTCTCTTCTTCAGCCTGAACAAACCCAGCTCCCTCAGTCTGTCTTAATAGGGGAGGTGCGTCTGCCCTCTGATCATGCTCATGGTCCTCATCCAGACCCCCCCCCAAACTGAAGAGTTTCAAACTGAAAGAGAGGAGTCTTAAATTGAATATAAGGAAGAAGGGCTTTTTTTTCCCCCCCCCCAACAATAACAGCAGTGAAGCACTAGAATAGGTTGCCCAGAGATGTTGTGGATGCCCCCTACCCTCAGGCATCCAAGTTTAGATTGGATCAGGTTCTAAGCAGCCTGACCTAGCTGTAGGTGCTGGTGTTGATTGCAGGGGAGTTGGACTAGATGATCTTTAAGGATCCCTTCCAACTCAAATGATTCCATGATTCAAGATGTGTCCAAATCATATCCAGGTTGGAACCAAGACAGCACTTAATAGCCCATAGCCACCTCTGTATATAAGACTAGTTTACGCTTCTCTTTCAAAACATATATGGAGAAAAGGACAATGTTATCATCTCTAGCTGCTTTCTTCCCCCATCCACATCCCTCCTTTTTTTTTTTTTTTCCTTTTTAATTTCCCCTTCCAAAATGCTAGTTGCCCTGAAGACACATTTTACACCATCGCTCTTCACTGTGACATACTTTTGTGCATCACAGGTCCCAGGATCTGGTCTTTACTTCTTGAGGAACTTATTTAACACTGAATGTAATATTACTTGCCAAACATTTTGGCAATAAGCTAACTTCCATGGAGGCAGCCCTTGTGGGTTAACGCAGTTGACGAACTGTAAACACTAAGGGAAATTTACTGACCAAAATTAGACACCAGAAGTTTCACAGATCCAAGAACATCTTCACAGATCACAGACTGTGATGTCTGAGTGCCACTTTCGGCACATAAGAGGGTTGTGTGAGGTCTTATTTTATCTGGGCTAGGTAGTCCAAATATAACTCTCTGCATTTATGAGAACAATTAAGGGGTCTGAGAGTATTATGCAGAAGTTTCTAAAATGACCTGTTCAATTTTTCTTTATCTGATTTCTAAAGAAGCGTGGTTTCATTCCATTATGATGAGAAAATTATGCTAGACACAATACCCCATACAATTAAGTTTACTATACATTTGTATACCAATCAGGGTCTTATCTGTTATTTCTGAGTATAATTCCCTGCACATTATCCTTTCTATTCACTTAATCTGTCTGAGCCAGCAATTAACAATATTTTACTAGAGAGATTAAAAAAAATGCCTTTACATTCACAGATGTCACAACAGTCAGACTAAAAAAAAATAATGATTTCAATTATACTGCTTCACATACAGAGAGCACTGTACAGAAAACATAAACCAGAACTAAATAATCAGTGCCTGTCTTGGTGGCCAGCAGCCCCCGAGTCTCTGTTGTTTATGGTATCAAAGCGAAGACACCTTAACAAGACCAGCTTGCGCTTCGCACTGACTGATGGATCAAAGCCTAAGGTTTGCAGTCTCCAGCGCCTGCAGCACCTTGCAGCCCACAGCAGAGCAGGACCTGGGTATCACATGGGCAATTAGCTGCAGAAACACATCTTCAGTGCTTAGCCTAACAGGACAACAGATGGAGAAAAACAGCTAGAAATGGAGTTCTTAAGACAAAAAGCACTCTCCCAAAGAGCCTATATAATCATCATTAGGAAACACCAGGGAAGATTATTAGCCTCTGCCCTCTCCCCCAGAGGCTTCCTTGCTTTAGCATCCTCTAAACAGCAGAGAAAGAAAATCCATTATACTCCCACCCACAGACTTGAGGTCCCAAGCAGGGATGGAAGGGACAACGGGCATAGTGGGACTCCTCAGCTCAGTTCAGGCTTTCAGGAAGCAGAGCACAGCTGTCACACCGCAGCAGGCAGGAACAGCTCACCTTCCTATAGCAGAGACAAGGGCTCCACACGTTTCTTGGCACTTCAAGAATGAAAAGCTCTTCCACACTTGTACAATTCAGGTGGAATACTGCCTCCACTGCCATCTCTTCCCATACTAGGAGCGCTCACTTCAAAGCATAAACTACTGTTGTTACTAATTGCGTTTTCTCATTTTTTCCTAAAAACAAAGAAGCAAACAGAAAAAAAATCCTCTTTGCCAAATCCCTTTCAGATCTTCATTTCATAGTTTGGATGCACACAGGTCACACAGCACAGAAAGTGCCAGCTAGAAGCCTCCCTGTATGGAAAATTACTGGCTAGTCACACTAACATTTCTGCGCAGACTTTGGAAATCTCTGCTCTACAAAAGAAGCTTCTAGAACAACAACAATCAGGCTCTCATGTCAGGAGAGCATCAGCTTCTCCTTATTACGTCCTTGAAACTATAAAACAAAACTAATGCATGTTATTTTATTCCTTACTATGATTTCTCAGAAAATATGAGACTGAAGTCCCAAACTCAGTATATTCATTAACCAAGTCCTTATTAAGTTAAGAAAGCTTTTCAAAGACATGGAACTGCACCTGAAAACAACAGCTGAAGAATCAAACAGATTATCAAAAATGTGATTTTCTCACACTTTGTTTTTTTTTTAAAGCTTCTATATACACGCCTACATATTCTCAAGAAATAAAAAGCGCTTGAGATAAGATGTGGAAATTGATGCAGTGTGAGAAGAAGCTCATTTCAGCTCCTACCTGCTACAGAAGTAAAATCTAAGAAAAAAAAAAATCAACTTGTTCAAACCTAACAGTTAATAATAAATTCTCGATGTGTACTGAAAGTGAGTTAATTTACTTCATTTAAGATGCAAAAATCAGCCAGTTAAATACCAAAATCCCTCTCAGAGCAAGAAAAATATATTATCTTTTTATTGACTGTAAACATTCAATCTAAAGAACAGTTGGAAAGTAAAGTCTAGAATATCTGCTTTGATTAGCCAACAGATGCTCTACAGAGTCAAAACTTACTCACTCCCTAAGCTTTGACTTTTACTGCTAACTCTAACAATAACAAAATATAAACCTAAGGTTTTTGTACTTTGGTTTTTCTTTTTCCTCCTTCTACCTCAAACAGATTATACCTCTAGCAGCTCTCTAAACACTCTCTCTCCTCTAATGCTTAATTATATCTGCTTCAGGAAACCTTCCTATATTCCAGATAATTTCCACCTGCTTGCATGAGTCACCTGTTCGTACAGCTGCTTCCTAATGTTGGTGCCTTGCAACTAAGAGATAAGAATGAATTCAACAAATAAGGATCAAGAGGTGATTTGATTGCCTAAGATATTAGTGTCTTTCAGTAATAAAAAAAAACTTATTCCCTTATGTAAACAAAATAATGGCGTGATCCATTAACTAAAAAAAGTAGAAAAATTAGGTCTTATATAAGTTAAAGGTATTTCATGCTGAATGTAAACTGGAAAGCTGTGCTGGGCTTTGCTTTTTGATATTTAGTGTTAGATAGCAAAGTAAAGACCTGAAATTTCTGAACAGTAGACTTCAACTTACTTCGGAAAATGCCAGATGTGATCCTATAGCAGCTTCAATAAGTAAAGCAGTTAGAGGAAGCTGGCAAATCTTTCAGGACCACATCCTATTAACAGCAGTTCTTCCCAATATTCAGGAAGACTAGCAAAAATACCTGAAAATTGGCTTGACTAACCAGGGGACTTTCAGCACAGAGGCAACAGTAAGAGGTAATGTACAGGAAGAAGAAGGACAAATATGGAATTTAAAATCATTACTTCATCACGTTGGAACGGTGTTAGAAAAGCCAAAGGTTACCTGGAGTAGAAACTGGAAAATATGTTAAAAACAGCAAAAAGAGCTCATGCTAGTACATTCATAGCAACATGCTGAATTAGCATGCTGGATGGCATGGGTGATTTAGTAACAGCTAAAACAGGTAAGGTAGAGACATTCAATGCTTCCTTTACTAGCACTGTTTTGTTTCTGAGTTTAGTGAAATGATTTAAAGATGAAAATCAATTGTGGTAGATGAGTTCAGTGATGAGTACAAGAACAATACAGATAAACCAGACTATGTGCAACCACTGTAATGGTTGGGGGCTCGGAGCTCCTGCCCTGTAAGGAGAAGCTGAGGGAACAGGATCTGCTTTGCCTTAAGGAGAGATGGCTTCAGGGAAGCCAAAGAGCTGTCCTCCAGAATTAGAAGATGGGGCTGGGCTCTCCACAGCTGTGCATGGTGACATGGTGTAAGACAGCAGGCAAAATTTGAAATGTGATTCAGACTGATATGAAGATAAACTTTTTCACCATAAAAAAAAAAGTCAGACACTGTAATGTACCGTCCAGGGAGTCCCTCTGAGACACCAGGGGTCTTCAGGATCCAAGTGGGTAAAAGACATTTGGGCTGATCTCATGGCTGACATTGCTTTAAGCAATAGGCTGGTTCGTGTCATCCTACAGACAGAACTGAGCTTTGAATTTATTTGCCCTACTGTTCTCTATAGTCAATAGAGACCAGTCCTTCCAGTGAACAATTCACACCTAAATGTACTGATAAACCTCTACTGGAGACCTGTTTATCTCTAGTGACTGTAGAGGGAGCTTAGATTAAAGCCATGGACTCAAAAATATTCAAATATCTTACTGTTTACAAAAAGTCAGCAAATATTTGTTTCAATTCATGTTTACATTTAGAATTTAAATGAAAGTAGGCATCATCTGATCTAATTTTAGTCCTTCTCTAAGTCCTGAGAAAGGAAAGTAAATATAACGCAGTCAGTGCAAACAGATAAGAACATAAACCTATAAAGATGTTGTTGCTACCTCAGGAATTGCAGCTGCACAATGGGGTGTTGGCGTTACTTTCTATAAGATGCCCCATGGGGAAAAAAAAAAATTACATTAAATCTCTTTCAGCAAATGATTAAAATGATAAAGAAGATTGACAAGATATTGCCAAGCCTTAAAAAGCAAACATACTTGAAATATTTCGTAGTAAATAAACTTTCAGTTGTCTGTGCAAGCATACCATTCTGCAACAAAAAGGGGAATTTGCATTCACCAAGTAATGAGCTCCCATGAGTTCTTAAAAAGTGCACACAAACTCATGCACTTAAGAGTGTAGTAATGGACCACAGCATTGGTCCATTGGACCAACTGAGGTCCAGTTCCTCAGTCAATACACTGGAAGGAAGGGAAGCCATCCAGAGGGACCTGGACAGGCTGGAGAAGCGGGCCTGTGAAAACCCAGTGAGGTTCAGTAAGGCCAAGTTTAGGGTGCTGCATGTGGGCTGGGGCAATCCCAGGTATTTATACAAACTGGGGGAAGATGTCCTGAAGAGCATCCTTGCGGAGAAGGACTTGGGAGTCTTGGTGGATGAGAAACTGGACAAGAACCAGCAGTGTGCGCTTGCAGCTCGAAAGGCCAACTGTGTCCTGGGATGCGTTAAAAAAGAGGTGGTCAGCAGGGAGAGGAAGGTGATTGTCCCCCTCTACTCGGCTCCTGTGAGGCATATAAACAGGAAGGGAAACGGCTGTTTACAAGGGTGGATAGTGATAGGACAAGGAGGACTGGTTTTAAACTGAGACAGGGGAAGTTTAGGTTAGCTATTAGGTTAGATATTAGGTTAGATATTAGGAGGAAGTTTTTCACACAGAGGGTGGTGACGCACTGGAACAGGTTGCCCAAGGAGGTTGTGGATGCCCCATCCCTGCAGGCATTCAAGGCCAGGCTGTATGTGGCTCTGGGCAGCCTGGTCTGCTGCCCTCCACATAGCAGGGTGTTGAAACTAGATGATCATTGTGGTCCTTTTCAACCCAGGCCATTCTATGATTCTATGATTCCTGTCAGTAGAGGACTCCACTCCACACTGCAGCAGCTCTGGTGGATGTAATTGCCCCTCACTAGCAAGATGCCAAAGAATTTTTTGGCTTCTTCATGCACTCTGATTTTGATCTCACAATATGAGCACTAAATAAGATTAGGCAAGTGTGCCCCTCTCCCTGCTGAGGGTCAATTTTCAGAGTCACAGCATTCTCACATGAGGGTCACTACAACTCTAAAGACCACTAGGAGAGCAGAACCTTACTGAGATTGACAGCTTTCACCATCTACAAATTTGAATATTTTAGCAATATGCTGCTTAAGTATTTGTCCAGAAGTAATTTTTGGCGCACAAAACAGCCAGCTAAAAAGGTCAGTTTTGCATCAGCAAAGAAAGATGAAAAACCTCTGCATTTTTGCCCTTTCCACATTATTTTGAAAATGTTCACTGTGAAAAATGCTCATCTTATCTAATCAATTTCTTTTTCTTAAATACCATATTACTAAACAGATCTTGGAATTTTTTATTAATTTTTATAAGCACCTACTCCTTCTCCCAGAATACACTGCTTCAGATTTATTTTGCTTTCCAACATGAGCCTTTACAACTACTGCTTCAGGGAATGCACTTTAGTTCTGGCCTCCCCAGCCCAATGCACCTCCATTTGTGCTCCATGCCCCAGTCCACAACATAAGCTCTGGCTAAGTCACTAGGAAAATAAGCAAGGGCACAGGCTGCTAAATCTTTCTGAAGGTAAGAAAGTGCATTTTCTTGATATCATGTTTACCATCTGTAGAGTGAGAATAATTTGTCATTAAGATACAAAACTCCCTTTGTCCGTGATCCATCTTTCAAGAATGATAGAACTCCCCATTACCAAAATGGCATTATTTTTGTCCAGGGTAAAAACACTGTGAAAAAGATATTGTAGGAAATACCCAATCTTTGTAATTACAAATCAAATTCCTGTAATTTTTTAAAGAAAGCAATGCACTAAGTAGGCTACAAATAAATCAAATAAATTACCAGTTTTAATTAGGCATAACAAACAATTAAACAGATGACATTTAAAATTAATTTTTGCTACCGGAGGAAATACAAGATAAAATGGTGCTAAGAACAGTGATCTCCTGGTGGATATTCCTTCAAATGCATTGACATTCAAAAACATCATAGCATTTGCAGAGAAAAGTCTTTTTCCTTTTTTCCAGTATTTGAGATTTCACTTTTAGGTCAGGTTTTTTTCAATTATCAAACTTCCCTAGAAATGCTTCATGTCTTAAAGTTTCTGTTCAGCTCCATAGTATGTAATTGCCAAACAGCTGCACAGTCATACCAACCACTGATAAAAAGGCATTACAAACTTCTAAGCAAATCATATTTATAATGCATAATATTCAAGGCCAAAGAAAATCAGTAGTACTTCAAGGCAAACTTCTGAAAATAGGGCAAGGGAATCTTGGGAAAGAGGATGGTAAATACTGCGTACCAATGAAAAGATGCAGCTGCCTAAAACATAACTGCCATGCAGTACACTGAAAAAGAGAATTACCTTACTTTTGAAGGCATTCTGTCTCCTAAATTAGAGTATTATCTACGGCTAACTGCTTTGAGGGCTGGAGGAAAAACCCTCAGGACTCTATTCCAGCCAAGTCCTTTCCTGTGTACCTAATGCTGAGCACGGAGTTGTCTCTCTGACTCTACATATTTAAATACCTCAAAGATTAGGCCCTGGGAGATATTGCAGGCAGTTCAGAAGCCACAAAGGAGATGCTCTATTTCCTCTCCAAATTCTTTTACTTAATTCTCCATTTGTAGCGATGTAAGCAAAGAGTTTGTTGAAATCAGCAGAGTAAGCTGCTGTAAACCCAGTCAGAAAGGAAATCTGGCAGGTGCACATTTCACTTGCAAGTATTAGTAATTTCATCCATACACATTGTCTGCAGAGCGGCATATGCTAAAAACAAGGCAAAGATGTTTTCCATACTCACTAAAAGGTGACAGATGAGTTTTTACAGACTGCAAAATACAGTAGAGCATTTCACCGAGAAGATCAAGAGAAAACAGGAAGCCCAAAATGAGAACATGAATTCAGTCTTTATACCGCTGACTGAGAGAACTAAATGTAGAATGGTACCTTCCTGCTCGGGCTGTAAGTGTAATTGCTGTCAGCAGAAATGAGTGCTATGTGTGCGTGTGCACTGAGGGTGTAACAATTCTGGGTCTGTATATGCAATCTGGAGTGTGAGAAGGTGGCGGCAGTTTGGCTCTAAATGGAAGAAGTGAGAAGCTGAAGTGGCCATTTT